CTTTCAATTAGCCCCACATGTGATTATTGGCCAGGCTGGCACAATTAACTAACTCAGGCCATCATACAGTTTCCAGGAATTCAACATATTTTTATTGAGGTAAATCCCATCATACACACACACACACGTTATGAAAACATTCTTCTACTGCTCAGAAGAGAAGACACAGAGGTAGCTGACAAGTTGTAAAAGGGTAGCAAATGAACGCAGACTGGGCACAGAACTCTTCCCAGGGGCAGGGGAGCTGCCTGCATTTAAGCTGCTGGGCACATGGTGGGCACGGAGGTTAGGAAGGGACCTGTCTGGTGACAGGCCTCCTGAGCTACCAGTGTTGCCCCTCTCTTGTGCTTTGACTCTTGGCAGTGGGAGCCCACCCCACTCACAGGCCCTTCAGTCTGACATCCACAGCACTCTCTAATGTCAGCTCGGCTTCCTCAGGAGCAAAGCCTTTAACCCGTTAGGGCTGTGTTCCTCCTCTTCGTCCTTGTCCTCATCTTCCTCCTCCTCATTACCGTCACCGCCTCTGTAGGTCAGCCTCAGCCCACGGCAGAGGGCCACGCTCACCACCACACCACCAGCCACTCCACTGGTGATTCCTAGTCCCAAAGCAGATGCCACATCCTTCTTCCAGGTCAGACGGGGAGGCTGGGAATAGTTGTCCGGATTTATTTCCAGTCCCTTATCCACTAACTTCTGACCCTCCGTCAGGGACTCCTCGAAATCCAGCTTCACCAAGTGTGGCGGAAGGATCCGCAGCCCATAATAGAGCCTCTTGACAAATTTCAAGTCTCTTAACATCTGCACATCACACCGGTACGTCCCAGAGTCAAACTCCCTAGCAGACGCAAACTTCACAAAGTGGGAATCGGTTCGGAAGGGTTTGAAGAGCTCATCATTGGTGGAGATGATACCTCGAGCAAGTCTCCAGGTGAACCGGAAAGCTTCCTGCCCAACCTCCAGGATGTCGGCACTCAGACAGCTCAGCTCAAACTCCTTCCCCACGGGAATGGTGAAATGAAGCATCCCACAGATCCAGTTGGTCAGACATTCCAAGCGTTGAGACTTACATTTCCTTCTCACCCCGTCAGGGCCCACCTCACAGACGGTCTCCTCCTTGTAGCCAAGGCCACAAGTGACAGTACAGGTTGTGGCGTTGACAATGACTTTCTCTACAGCTTCTTGCAGCTTCTCAGGGACGGCCAGTGTTTCAGGCAAAGTCACCACAAAAGGCAGGTAGGAGGCCAGCACTAGGCTCCTGAGGATGAAACTCATTGCCAAGGTCTTTGTGTCTCAGGGGGTATTAGAACACCCTCAGCCAACACCCCAAGGTCTGATCATGGATAGAACAATGTTAATTCCTTCAACAAGACATATCCTTCAAAGTCAAAAGGTAGGATGCACCCATCATCAAGACGCTCCACAACAAAGAACAAGAGTCCGGAAGGGCAGTCCTTATTAACAGGTCAAGGGGAGGGGAAAAAATCCTGCTGTGGCTTTACTACCTACGGATGTTAATAATGCCTCCCCAGTCTTCATTCTTTTCACCTCCTGTAACAACAGATTTTCATCTACCTCTCGGGAAGACAAAGGTCAAGAGGCTTCAAAAGCTACAAGGGAATTTCCAAATTGTCTAAAAAACACAGGGAGGCTTGTACCCCTCTTGACCCTCCTCCCCTCCCAACTTGTAGGCTCTAAATGCAGGATTTCAGAAGCTCAACTGAATCAGACCAAACAAGAAATCAAATACTAAAGTCTGAAAAAAGGGGATTACTTTGAATTATTAGCCACTTTTTCAATAATAAGGATTAAGAACACTGTCTGTGGAGGGAGGCCAGTGGCTTATCCGCCCACATTTCCATTTCCTCCTCTCTGGGGATGAAACCTTGCCTTGCCGACTTCAGGAAGGACGCGTCCGGGGTCAAATGAGACACCGTACATGAAAACATTCTGTCAAGTGGGAAACACTGGCATCTGTAAGGAACTTTAGACATAAATGAAGATTCACGTTGGCACCAAC